CGCTTGCACTCCAGGAGTTCGCGTCTACTATTCAGACGTAGCAAACTACTCGTCAGATGTAAAGTGCTAACTTGAGCTAGTTGGTAAATCATTGTTTTATCTTAGTTTTCGTCAGACTATTTATATGACGCGATGTTTTATCTTAGCAATGTGCGCGGTTTTATCTTAGTACTCGCCAGAACTTCCAGCGCCGGCAATAACCAACATACAGGTACACCAGCTCCTGCATTCACCAAGCATTTTAACCAAATGCAATAAGTTTATCATTGGGGACTTTTAACAAACTGTTACCGTGTTTCGCGTACCGCACTACGGGAGCCTTTGAAGCATACTTTTAAGCGCGCGCGCCGCGGTCACAGTATCATCCGGGCACGCGCTTAAAAGCATATTTCAAAGGCTGCAGCAGTGCGGTACGCGAAACACGGTAGCAGTTTGCTAAAAGTTCCTACTCCCGAGCCATATTTTGCAAGCAGCCAGGATCTCGTTCAGTGCACCCATTAAATAATCACCCCGTGTGTTAGAAGTGTGAAATAGTTCTTTCTCGAACGGAAGGTCTGTGGGGCTTGGTCGATGTCAGTTATCAAAACCGTGCAGATGTCCTCGTGAAGGATTGAGAGTGCATGGCTCCCGCGAAGCATTACATCTTAAAAAATGAGTTATAAAAAATAAGGATAAACAAGAAAACTACGCAAGTTAGAAGGAACCGTAACGCTGCGGGCATGCCCCACGGACGCGCGCGCAAGAGCAGCCTGCTCCTGCTCAGCTCCTGCCGGGAGAGGCAAGCATCCTCGCGTGGTTCGTGCCGAGCCAACGAAAGTAGCTGTGGTCGAACTTCCAGCACACCACCGGCACCAAACGGCGCAGCGTGCTGTTCGCTGCTGAAAGACATCGGAGTAGGAGGCACAACCTCGCAGTTCCCTACTTTCAATTCGCAGTTTTAACAGTTTCCAGAGGCCTCCAAATGACTAAGCATGTTCGGACGTGCACACACTCCGCTGTTTGCATTTCATTTGAACCGAATGGTACTACACTATGTTTTGTGAAGAAACACAAACAAATTAAATTTATCTATGACTTTGGTATCTGATGTATCAACTAGTTATGAAGATATTAGGAAAGTTCTGCATTGTCATAGTAACCAGTGTTGCGGAGTTGCCACTCCGGAGTTGGAATGATTCCGGAGTCATTCCGAATTTTCGCGACCCTGGAATGGAATGGGAATGGAATGGCGGCAGCGTTAGATGCCTTTTGCCCGGAATGGAATGGTAATGGAATGGGCTCGGTTCTTCTATTTTTTATATTTCTTTTAGTGTTTATGATCAGCGAATTTGAGCCAGTCAGTGAGCCAGTTGCTCAGAAATAAAATGAGCGGGCGGGAAACAGCGTACCCGCGTGGAGCTCTAACAGAGTTGTACGCCAAAAATGCAGTACCAAAAAAGTGTCGAAGCAAAGAGCAGAGGGGGGAGGGAAGGGGAGGGGGGGGGGGGAAGGTGGCGGTGGCGCTTTTCGTGCAGGCGACGGGCTTTACTGGCGTTACATTTTGAGGAGCGTTGTTTAGCAGGCGGCCAAACCTGCTGCCCTCCACGTTCATTCGCGCGCACTCATTTGAAGCGAGAACAGTGGGTTTGCCTCGGCAATAAAACAAAGCAAGATTCACTTCTCTCTTCTCCTCTTGCGTTTTTTGTTGTTTTTTTTTTTTTTTTTGCTCCGACACTTGTTTTATTATTCTGCATTTTTACGTGTAAGTCCGCCTGTTACTTTGTCTTAGTTCCGATGCTTGTTTTCTGTGTTACATGTTTTACATTCAAGTGGGTTAGGGTTACAGTCAAGCTAGCGGGTTCCCGCTCATTTCCTTCGTTTTAGATTGCCCACTTTGTTTCACCTTGCGATGGACCTCTGCGGACGCTACGAGTCACCCCAGGCAATCCAGCACGTTGAGGCGGACTACACGCCCGGCGCGTCGCTGCGCCCCCGGGTCACGCGACACTCGGAAGGCACTGGATTGGTTTCGATGGCTCTCGTGCTGTCTGTCGCGGTTCATCGTAAAGTGAAGTAGATTGTCGTCACAGCTCTTGTGGCGTAACCGAACTGACTAGACCTGCAGAAAGACTGTTTCGTGACATGGTCTCTCGTGCTGCGCCGTAGAGGTTGCACTTTGTCAGAGGATGCGTTGCTGCCACTGTGCCTGAAGTCGCTTCCAGCAGCGTACTAGCCGTATTGCTGTGCAGGTATTTAAAGAATACAGAAATTAATATAGCTTATTTCTGTGCCACGCACGAACTGGATATTTTTATGGTCTTATCAAACAAACACGCTGGCCGCGTACTTACGTCCTAGAAGACAAATGCAAAAAAAAAGTTTGCCCCGAAATATTAGTGGATTTACGTTTTGGTGATTGTTGCGAGCCACGTCGTCGGAAGACCGATGTTTTGAACAAGCATCGATATATCAATCGGCTTTCTCGATGTTTGCTGTGTTATGTAAACGAACACTTTGGGCCACCTGCGCTCCGCGTAATAAAATCAGTGCTTTTTTTAAGCATTTTGTATTTTGTTGCAATTGTCTATGCGTTTGATAATGTCAGCTTTATAGTGCTTATGCCGGCAACACAATGTAGCTGTCAAGAACCAATTTTTACGTTTAGTAAGTAGAGGAATGGAGTGGAACGATTCAGCCATTCCAGGGGTGGGAATGGGCCCAGTGTCCCCATTCCTAGGAGTTGAAAGGAATTGAATTATCGAAAACTCTAATTCTCCGGAATGGAATTGGAATGGAATGGGGTGCCCATTCCGCAACACTGATAGTAACCTGACTTTGTTTATCCTGTTTAATTACCAAAAATGGTTGGGATGTCTGAATAACAGAAGCTCTCTTTGTTCACAGAAAATGAGACGTTTCGTACAGTTTATTAAAAAAAAAGACGTTTCTTAGTTATAATAAATCTTTGTGTAATATTGCCACGCTCGTCGGCGAGCGACCGCGCGCGTGGCCGAGTGGTTACAGTGCTTGACTGTCGCGCAGAAAGTCTGGGTTCGAGTCCAGTTAGTGGAATGCTCTTTTATTTGTTCTTTCATTGCGTTCTCGTGAGTTCGAGATAATAACGGAGCGTCGCGGGCGTCGGAGTCGGCGTAGCGGCAGAGTCGAACGCTGGGCGAAAACTGACTGCAGATCAGCACGCGGAGTCCCTTATGTACGCGCGTTGGGTTCTGGAACAATCGGCCTAGATTGTTCGGCGACTGGAACATTCGGAACTCGATCTGACGTGAATGTTCTCGAACTCACGAGAACGCAATGAAAGAACAAATAAAAGAGCATTCCACTAACTGGACTCGAACCCAGACTTTCTGCGCGACAGTCAAGCACTGTAACCACACGGCCACGCGCGCGGTCGCTCGCCGACGAGCGTGGCATTACTCCCCCCTTTAAAAAGGCATCGTCTCGATGCCACGTAAAAGGCAACAAAACAGAACGAAACAAACAAAAAATGGGAACATACGGAGGCTCGCGAGACACAATCGTATCAAGCGGTGCACAAGATCACAGTTCGAAGTCTTATCGCGCGTAGTACGGCTTGAGGCGCACGACGTGGACGACTTCCGGTCGTGGAGCGCGGCGTGATGAAGTCCGTATTCCGTCGGGCATCACCTCGTAGTTCAGATCCCCGAGTCGACGAAGTACTTTGTAGGGTCCGAAGTAGCGCTTTAGGAGTTTCTCACTGAGACCACGGCGACGGATCGGTGTCCGCACCTCCACCAAAATGTCACGGGTAGTGACCAATAAACAATAATAAACAGAAAGAAATAAACGTTTAATGTGGCGAACTTGTGCCAAAAATAAAAGGGTACAAAAGATAATAACGGAGCGTCGCGGGCGTCGGAGTCGGCGTAGCGGCAGAGTCGAACGCTGGGCGAAAACTGACTGCAGATCAGCACGCGGAGTCCCTTATGTACGCGCGTTGGGTTCTGGAACAATCGGCCTAGATTGTTCGGCGACTGGAACATTCGGAACTCGATCTGACGTGAATGTTCTCGAACTCACGAGAACGCAATGAAAGAACAAATAAAAGAGCATTCCACTAACTGGACTCGAACCCAGACTTTCTGCGCGACAGTCAAGCACTGTAACCACTCGGCCACGCGCGCGGTCGCTCGCCGACGAGCGTGGCAATATCAGGACCAGGCGGATTATTTCGGTCGCGCACCAGTCACCTAGCTCTGTTTGGAGAATTCTGTTTGTCCTTTGTCTTCCTTGTTCCCCTTCTCCACGGAGTATTATAGTCATTCTTATCCAGCTCGCTGGCACCTTTGCTTTACTCGCATTGTCATTAAAACTTGGTGTTTTTAAGTACCTTTAGAGTGCCTACCAAAAGCTTATGTTCTTGACGAATAAAATTAACCCTGTTTTTTAACCAATAAGCATGCCTGTATTTTCATCTAAGATAACCGTTTTCTTATTTTGACCAAAAGCTTGCGGATATTTCCTCTTATACTATAAACATGTTTACAGTGTACATTTGACCACGGTCCCAATAGGACTTGGACCTGCCCAGAGGTCCTTGCCTCGTATTCCGCGGGCTCCTTGAATTGCCACGCTCCTTACAGGCGTGTGTCCCGATCATTCGGAGTCAGACCTAAATTTTCGCAACGTTGTGAACAATAGCATGTACTCGCTGAACGGGCCTTTTTTTTTTTCTTTTCACAAGGACTGACTACAACAATTCACTAAGTGATGGAGCGAAGCCATTTAATTCCCCGATTCAATGTAGGCGCCGTCCTTTTGGTGGCTAGTGGATAGCGTCTGCAATTAATGATGGTTCAAAAATAAACTTGCTGAGCTTGAGACATATTGTCAGGTCGCCATGACGTTAGGCTTTTTCGCCGAATCGCTGGGGACCTGAGAATCGTTGGCTGCGATCTGTTGACTGCGATGGCTCATTCCCCTTAACGCTCAGTCAGTGCGAAATAAATGTGCGTGCCTACTCCTCTCTCTATTTCGGACAGATGGCGAAAGAACAGGTTCTCCATCTTCAAGAACAGCAACATTCCTGGACCCGAACCGAACCTCTTATTCGGAAACTCTTTGGAGATAATGCAAAAGGTACTGATAACATATTCCCTGCATAAGTACAGATGCCAGATGAATGTCACTCTTGTTTCTTTAATACTGTGACGTCGCATATGCTATACTACCTGCAGCAAGAGGCTGCTATGCAGACTGAATCAGTGACTCTCTCATATTCGGAAAATATTGTGATGCCTTTGTCTCATTTTCATGCATCATCTCTTTATTGTCTTCCCCAAAGACACAAATTCGGTCTCGACAACCTTATGCCAGAGTCCCGCTAGAGCGACAAACAGAAACAACCGACATGGACATGTTTCGAACACATTTTTTATGCTGGCGATGGTACCTTTGGCAGCCGTTTAGTCGTTCGTTGCTCGCGAAGTAAGCACGAGGGATCACAAGCCTGCCAAAGATACCCTCGCGTGCATGATGTTCGTGTTTGAGCATAGCCTGCTTTATTCTACAAAACCTGTCAAAACGCGAAAGGCTCTGGTTTGACGCTTGTCGCTCTCGTTTGTTTCTGTTCGTCGCTCTAGTGGGACTCATGCATTAAGGAGACCATAGCTTTTTCTATATACTTGGAAGAGTTGCTCTAATACTTGCACGAAAGCACTAAATTCAGATGAATCCACGAACCTAGTCGAAACTCCTCGAAAGAACTTGAGAAGGGCCACCTGGGCCGGTTTGCTAGAACAGCGTCTCACCTGAGACTGAGTGAAAGAAAACAGTGCAAAGGGTGGGGCGCGCGACTGTCTTGAGACGCGGCTTGAGTCTCGCTCAGCTCGAGCGCTGGCTTTGGCATTGCTTTCTTTCCCACAGTCTCAGCTGAGACACTGTTTCTAGAAAGTCGGACCTGGAGGCCTCATAGTGGCGGGGGACGTTTCGATAAGCTTCTTCAGAACCGATGAAGCTAAGTGTCTTATACTTAGTTTCAGCACAAGTCCAGACGCAGACGACGCTGCGAGCTAATGGGACCAACCATGCAGCGCCAAATGCGCCACTTACTGTACTTTTTTCTGTTTCTGATTGGTTCAGTGATGACAGAACATGTACACAAACACGACGAACAACTGGACGGTGCGCTTCTGACGTTGTCTGATTTGTCGCATCAGCTTGTAGTTAGAACTTCCGACTGGGCGAGTTGGTTGTTCATGTTAGTCGAGCGGACTAAAAAAAAAAACGTCACTCAAGCTTTCACACACACAAGAAACACAACTCTCACACGATCTCTGCGTGAGCGCTGTGCGATAGTTGTGTTCCTTTTGTGTGTGAAAGCTTGACCGGCAGTTTTTTGAGAGCGCTGAAACGTCGACAAACAGCTTGTAGTGTCCGCAGCGTCTGGACCACGAATGTCTGGACTTAAATTGAAACGATGTATAGTGAAACCTCGACCCGCATGAGCTAAGTCTCTTCACAAAACCTCGGTCTCTTAAGCTTCCATGGAGATCGAGGCTTTTTTCATTGAAGCTTGTGCTATGGGTTAAGCTTGGTTAAGCGTGTATATCGTTAGTGCGCCAATTATATATATATTTTTCTTTGTTCAGTCCATAGATATTTCTATATATATATATATACAAGAAGGATCTATGGACTGAACAAAAACAAGGAAAGGTTTATTGATGATTCGCGAGGATATAATTGAATAGCTAATTAAGTGTGAGTGACTAAATTGCTCAATATTGATTTTAAACGGATGGCTTCGATTATAATTTCGTTGAGCATCATCAAAACCTACTAAGTACACCCATATCAGAATGAGATAAGCCATGCACGCTCACCATATTACGGCGACCCGAAAAGAATTCTCGACTTGAACGCGTTTCAAAGTTACGCTTTTTCTTATCGGAGCGAATCCCGCGCGGGCACTCCCGGCCTTGGTGTCTAACCCCTTGGCTACTAATAGGGAGTTTTCATATATCGTTTTTGCCGTCGCGCAACGCACTCCGCAACACGCTAGCCTATCCGGAGCTCTAAAGTCCAGGCCATCGGTGCGCAGGCGCAGTAGCGGCTCAGGGCTTAGCGGAGGGGGAAACGCCTGGTCTGCGAAAACTTCCTAATAACTCGTGTGACGAGTGCAGCCCTTACGGACAATCAAGTCCGATCCCGAGTGAGACTTGCGTTTCGGTTTCGGCGCTTGCTTAGCGGCGCTCTCTTGCAGATGGGAAAACCAGCCCTGTTAATCCATTTACCTTGAGCAGTTTGCTCGTTTGTTTTGCTGTTTGCGAGAGAGAGAATGCTCCGTTTAGCCAAGAAAATAAAAGCAGCCGCCTGTGAGCGTTCACGCTAAAGCAACGTGGCTTTGGTGCGAAGGTCTGTGCTTTAGCCGACAAAGAGATGCAAAACCTTCTTTTCGAAAGGGATTAGTGCTCAGGCATCGAGGACAACGAATCCTTCGGCCATTTTGATTGTTTTCTTTTTTTTTTAATTGGACGTTAGTTTGATGGGCAGTGACAGGAGTGAGAAAAAGAAAAAGGAAACGAATCCTGCAAGCATTCCATTAACGTCGGCATCCGCACGTCGGTGGGACCTTGCCCAGAGGTCCTGATTTAGAGCAAGATATGTGACATTTGGTAGTCGAAGAAATAGTTTTCTGGGATTTGAATGCAAATTTTCCGTTTAAAATAAAATTTTGTTGCGCGTTCCGCGAATAAAAAGATGACTAGGCAAAGGGGCTAAAACGCTCAACGTTCGTGAGTCTTCAGACTAGCACCGACGTAAAAATGCGAACCTTGTGTAACAGTACGGAGGCTTTTTTTATCTAGCCTCTTCTACGTGCGATGCGTGGCGCCGCAATCACGTTGCGCGTTTTAGAAAATTAGGGCGGGATATCCCGAGCGGTGATGCGCTCCGATAAGATACCGAAACCCAGAAACACGTCCAAATTGCGAATTTTTATCAAAATATCCTAAACTTCTCCGCTTGCCTTATATTTGGGTGTATATAATAGTCTTCGATGGTGCCCAGCAAGATATTTATTGCAACCATGCCGTTATGATCAACAACTAACAATTTATTTAGTTAAAATTAACTATTTGCCTAATTATACTGAAAGCTAATCATTTTGTTTAATGGGGCCTTTGACACAAACCACTACGACATCAACCTTTTTTTTCTTTTTCTTTTTTCTGTGCGATCCGTAATTTTCGCGGGAGCAACTGCACACTCTTCCGGGAACACCATGTAAATGTTTATTGTCGTACTCGCGTTTTCAATTTGCTTCACTGCTTTTCTTGGGGGGGGGGGGGGGGGCACTGGATAGCACTTCTGCTTTATTTATTATAATTTTTAATTATAGGGTGACGTCGTTGCGTTCAGTGATTGGACAAAGGAATATGGAGATGTCGTTGGGTAAGACATTTTTCTGAACCTCGCCATTCCACTTCCATGTAAGGTCCCAATGTATTTACGAAAGAGCTCCCGCGGACTCCGCGCGCTCCTGCGCCAGTCTTCGTTGTCCAAGGTGCCAGACTGGAAGGGGAGAGGTCGTTTCCCTGACCCCAGTTCAAAAATACCAGAGATTGATGCCGCGTGTAAATTCCGGCGCAGTGCGCATTACGGCCTTATGCGGGTGCATATAGTGACGGAACAACACGACCAGAATAGATAGAAGAATAGTCAGAATCAGTGATGGCCGCATCATGCTGACCCCCTTGACCCCGCTCTTGACGTTTTATTCGCCGTGTATTTCATTTATTCCTCCGTCGTTGGGTTCAATTTTGGGGGTTTTGTTCCAGGTTCTTCAGCGGAGCATGTCCCTGCATCTTGGTCAAAGATGTCGATCTCATTCGCTCTATTCAAATGAAGGACGCCGGCAACATTTCGGAACGAACTGTAAGTACATACCGTCCTTCAGCATCCACCCAGGAATAAGTGTGTTGAGACAGCGTGAAGTTAGCGAGCCCCAGAAGGCGTCTAGCTGCTGTCTTCGAAATAGATAAGAGAGCCAATGCAGCGCCACCTCTAGTCTGTATTGTTTAGGGTACACCCCGCAGTACGACCACGACGGGACGCCGGTACAACTCCCATTCAGATCGAAACGGATGCTCATAGGGATTTTAACTCAGTATCCCCGGGTTCTGCAGTGCGATCTTTCGCTCCACGTGCTCCGAGCTTTCATCTTCACTATAGGGGGCCGGATGGCGTACAGCTGCTCTCCAAGCCTGGCGCAGGTGAAACCACCGGCAGTCCGATGCTCGTCTCGGAAATCGGGCGTCTGCTGGGCTTTATAGTGTATTCAATCGATGTTTTGGCCAATGATTTATTGTGTCTTTGAGTGTGCTTTAATGATCCCGTTTCGCACTAATTATCGATAATACGAAATTTGAACGTGGGACATCTGCACATTTCATTAACTAGAATATCAATATTTTCACATCCAATAGCATGCCAGGGGACTTCTCGCGTTTGCACGGGCTGGTACTGCGAAGCCAGCAGGCTCTCTTCAGACGACAAGAATAAATACTGCGCCCTGAACGCTTTTCAAAAGCAGCGCTTGGAAGAGTTGAAAAGCCTGTCAAGCGCTCACTTCGGCGACAGGCCGCTTCCTTCCGGTGGCTTCATACCTGTTTCTCAATGCGCCATCCTGCGCACTACAGGGGTAGTAAATATATCAGCCTGGACTTTAGAATTGAAGTACCATAGAACACGAAGAAAGAAAGGACAGGATAGGACAGGGGCCATCTTTAAAGTTCTTTCATGCTTACGGGATTTGCTTTGTTTGGGAGGAGACGAACCCGAACGTGCTGGGCTGTGGGCACCGCACTTTGCCTCGGAGAGGACGTGACATATCATTTGAGTCAGTTGTTCACAACAAACGCACAGAACTGGCATGCGCATGAATCTGGTCTGCCAAGTTTGTAGGCGATGCGCACTTGGCAGGCGATAAACGCAAGTGCGATTGAACACGCCATGAGCAATCGCCGAGCTCTATACAATAGAACTCAGTGACACCATGCAAAAGGTTCAGCCAGCATAAAACTTTCGCCTTATAAAACGGATGACGCGGCATTTGTTTTTACCTTCACGTACACGCAGTATATGCTGCAACGAGAAAACAAAATTTGTTTAAAAAATGGAGTCGTGTTATGCTTTGCGTGGATAGACCTCGCTATCCATACAGAAAAGGAAAAACAGTTTGCCTCCTCCACAGATTATTACGCAGCGGAAAGGAAGTACATGGCGGGTTTAGCGTTAAATTCATTGCGATCTGGTTGTCGTTTTTAACGTAATTCTAAACTAAATGCCCTTGATTAGGACAGCGGAATACTGATAAGTTCTATTAATTTTGTTAAATATATTAGGCAAGATGTTATGAGTCTCCAAGAACTACATATTAAGATATAAGTTGGAAGTTCAGGCATTTTCGAGCCGCAGAGGTAGGCCATTGGCGTAGCAGAAGGTTGAAACTCCGGCGGAAGCTTTCAGAACTAAATCAGTATTTTATTTTCTGGAATGAACCGCTTTAGTTCTATCCTCATTCTCACAACGAACTTACTCTTTTATTTCGTTCGTTTCGAATATATTTATACCTGGCGTGCTCCTTCATTTTTTCCTCTAGATGGAGTCGGTGTTTTCGATTCTGCATATCATCACGAAAATGCACCTCCAGTCCGGATCCGGTGATAACGTAAAAAGGATCCGCAGACTAATTCCCACCATGTTCAAGTCCACCAACCTGAAAAAGGTAAAAAAAAGTTGCGAAGTTTTTTTTACTGTTCTTGATTACAATGTCGGGAATCGCGTCGGGGAAAACATGTAAAGTGCACGTTCATTGTCATCTAAATAATTTCTCCTAAATTCTCTCAATCGCACGACGAGGGAGAGAGACAGGGCGTAAGGTATCGTATTATACTCCTATTTAAACTGCCACTGACAACCCCAATATTGATATATTTCGTTTTGATTATTGCACATGACTGAAAAAGGATTTGAAACGCTCGCCACAATTTATGACGTAATGAGATAAATGGTGCGCTCCTTGGCTTTTTGGATGACTTCAAACAGGAAGTGTCGTTTAACTTTGAACCTTTCCCCTTCGTCGTTTATGGACAAGCGCACGTGCTAAGCGGCCAACCGCGAAACTATTTTACGAGACCTTTCTCCGCGTGCAGTCGAGGCGTAACTCTTCAGAGCCTCTTCCTTTTGGCAGGGTTAGTGGGTCTAAAACGAATTTTAAAAAGTAAAGAAGGGAACGACGGTGAGGGGCGATGTCGCAAAGGTGCTGCCTGAGAGGTTCATATCCGACAGGCTATCCGACACCTAGAACAACTTCTCCGATGCGTCCTCGACTTCCCCGTCATGCGCACCCCTCTCAACACCCTCAGCACAGCAGCCGGGTGCCGCCATGTTGAAGGTATAAAGAAAAAGCTAGGAAACGGTTGATGTTACGTAAGTAACACCCCCGGTTTCGGATTTTCATATTTAGAAGTCAGAATAGTAGTGCCTTTGCAGGCGTCGGAAAGCCAAAGTATTTTATGAGTGACAATAATAACCATTACAGACATGCAACTTTCGGCACCTCTTAACTTTTTCAAAAATACATGCGTCAATTAAGCCCACACCACCCCCCCTCCCTCCCCCCCCCCCCCCCCCCACCAAAAAAAAAAAAAGCGAGGAGGAGTTTAAATTGAGGGAGGCGGACACAAACTTAGACAACCTCTTTTGAACGCCCTTTTTTTTGCGATGAGTATTTTTTTTTTTTTTGTTTTACTGCTTGTTTCCGAAGCGTTTGAGACGGCAACAAAATATTATCTTGGGGTTGTCGAAGCCCTTTAAATGTTTCTGCACCAATTCAAACCATGTCGGATTCCGTCCGTCGGTTTCAAGGGGATACAAACATATTGACTTAATTGATTTAGCTTAAAACCAAGCCATTTTCTTGACGTCCGGCAATATGAAAGACATATTTTCCCAATGTGGCACTTGTTTCCGAATGTTTCACTTCACCACTTCTCATGACGCGGATATCTTTTGATACTCTATCTTTCATTTCCAGAGAATACGTGATAACTTAATTGTTTCTCCAGTGTAGTTTGTTTTCTGTCGGCGTTCACAATTTTGAACTGTGTCAGGTACTACGCTGTTGAAGAATATGAATGAATATATGAAAATTCTGTCTTATGCGGTCAACACCTTTAGGTCTGGAATATTAATGCAGCAGAGTCAGATTTTAAAAAAAGAAATTGTGATCAGTACCAAATTGATAAATACATTAAAAAAAGTCAAACTAGAGGTTCTAGCGAGTTAAATCAAAATTTTCCAATGTACTTCTTTGGAGCAGAACACGACCATATTTTGAACGAATGCCGCACCAGTATAACTTACAAAACTCGCATTGTGAGCGCGAGATGCGAAGATTGATTTCGTCAGACCAAAAAGGAGTGCGTAATGCACTCCTTTTTGATGCTTTCTGATCGGTTTAATTTTTTTTTTATTTAATGCTTTCTGATCGGTTTAAATCTCTCGCAGATTTTTAACTGGATGGTCATGTCGGCGGACGCACTCGTGAAAGACCTGAACCCCGGCCGCCACCCGGCAGGATCGGTCGAGGTGTGCAAACACTTCGGAAAATTCGCCGCCCAAGTGAGCAGTGGCTTCGTTCTGGAAAACGCCAGAAATGGAAAGGGACATCCGGCGAAGCCCACCGCGGAGCAACTCTACACGTGCTCCCTCGAAGTCGTAAACACGCTCAGCACCAGGTGGTTCACGGGGCTCACAGGTGCGCACGACAACGCTCTGACTGCGCATTTTTGTGCTCTTGTTATCGTCTCTAAATTCAAACTTCCCAAACGGAAGTACTGCCACACGTGACAAATGAGGAGATGGCGGATGTTTGGAGAGACTAAACGTTTAATGGGGGCGAACTTGTGCCCAAAACGAAATAAAAAAGGGTTTGCGTTGTAGGCGTTGATGTCGGTAAAGCAGCAGGATCGAGCACTGGGGCGAGACTGACACTCCGACTTGCCACGCGGAGCGCCTCTTGTAGCCGCGTGGGTTTCTGGAGCATTCGGGCTGGAACGTTCGGCGCGTAGAACATTCGTAACTCGATCAGACGACAAGGTTTTCGAATTTGCGAGAACGCAAAGTAGAAAAAATAAATAAAAGAACATTCCGCTCCCTGGAATCAAACCCAGATCCTCCACGACAGCCAAGCACGATAACCATACGGCTACGTACGCGCTCGCTCAGCGACGCGCTTGGCATTACTCCCCTTTTTAAATGCGCATCGTCTTAATGCGACGTGCCGGCAAACAAAAACAGCAAAACAAACAAAACAAAAATAATGGAAAAGTACGGGGACTTGCACTACACAATCCTATCGAGCGTATTACAAAACGCCATTCACAGTCCTATCGATCGTAGTACGGCTTGAGGCGCACGACGTGGACGACTTCCGGTCGTGGAGGGCGGCGCGATGAAGTCCGTGTTTCGTCGGGCATCACACCGTAGTTCAGATCCCATTGTTCCTTCTCGGCTCAAGTAATGAGAAGGGCAATCGATCCTGCACAGCGTACGATAAAAGTTTAAGCGCTGTCAATGAGTACGTGGCCATTGATGCTCGATACAGCTCGCTTTTCGCAATCATTCAATTGTTTTTTTTTTCTTCTTTTTTTGAGAGAAGAAACAATTTTTTTTACTGTAAGATCCAAAGCTGCAAAAGGCACAGCAAAGTCGCCTGACAAGGTGATAATGGTCTGCGTCGTGTGCAAGTTCCAGCAGCTAGCGCGCCATGCAACACAATACAAAGAAAAGTAAAAAAAAAAGAAAGAGAGAGAGAGAGGAAAAAAAGCCTACGCATACAGTAACGTGAACAGCAATACAGCACTAGCACAACAGAAATAACAACAACAAAACATTGACGCCCCCCCCCCCAAAAAAAAATGCGAAAGAAATACCATCTGCCAGAATATTCAGCAGTGTATTTGTAAAAAAACAAACAAAAAAACGACCAATTTCAATTAAAAATAGCAAAAAGGATGCATAAAACATTAAGAGTTTCACAGCAAAAAATAATTATTAAATAAACGTGCCTATAAAAATTTCGTTAAAACAGTATAGATCTTAGATGCATCTTCGGGTCTTCTATTGCGATTATAGAATCAGGCGACGTTTGGAAAATCGCCCTTTATCTAAACACGCTTCACATATAATTAGACTGAATCGACTAAAGAACGACCGATTTGTGCTAAACAAGCAACCACTTTTTTAAGAGCTGGCCGCCTCGCGTGGATAACACTCTGTAGGGGCACCAACCAGACTGGTAACTGTGACCACGCTTGAGCAATGCTTGACTAGCAGACGTAATCGCAGCAAGAAGCGGCACCCGGAGACCGCACTTGCAAACCACTCGGGGATTTCTGGGAGTGCAGGCTTGGTACAGCATTTTAGACAAAATCCCGAGACTGGGGAGAAAAGAGGACAACACAACACAAAGTCTTAATTGAGACTGTGTTGTGTTGTCCTTTTTTCCCCCAGTCTCGAGGTTTTGTCTAAAATGTTAAACTTTCACCAGCTTATTTGCGCCCTAACTTTTTGTTCGCTAATACTTTAAGATGCAATTGAGACTTTGTGTTGTGTTGTGCTTTTTCCCCCCAGTATCAGGGTTTTGTCTAAAATGTTAAACTTCCACCAGCTTGTTTGAGCCCCTAACTTTTTCTTCGTTAATACTTCAAGATGCAATTGAGACTTTGTGTTGTTTTGTCCTTTTTTCCCCCAGCCTCAGGGTTTTGTCTAAAATGTTAAAATTTCACCAGCTTGTTTGCGCCCTAACTTTTTGTTCGTTAATACTTCAAGATGCAATTGAGACTTTGTGTTGTGTTGTCCTTTTTTTCCCCAGTCTCAGGGTTTTGTCTAAAATGTCAAAATTTCACCAGCTTGTTTGCGCCCTAACTTTTTGTTCGTTATTACTTCAAGATGCAATTGAGACTTTGTGTTGTGTTGTGTTGTCCTTTTTTTCCACAGTCTCGGGGTTTTGTCTAAAATGTTAAACTTTCACCAGCTTGTTTGCACCCTAACTTTTTTTTTCGTTAATAGTTCAAGATGCAATTGAGACTTTGTGTTGTGTTGCCCTTCCCCCTCCCCTTCCCCCCCCTCCCCCCCCCCTCCTCCCCCCCCCCCCCGCCCCAGTTTCGGGGTTTTGTCTAAAATGTTAAACATTCACCAGCTTGTTTGCGCCCTAACTTTTTGTTCGTTAATACTAAAAGATGCAATTGAGATTTTGTGTTGTGTTGTCCTTTTTTCCTTAAGTCACAGGGTTTTGTCTGAAATGTTAAACTTTCACCAGCTTGTTTGCGCCCTAACGTTTTGTTCGTTCATACTTCAAGATGCAATTGAGACTTTGTGTTGTGCTGTCCTTTTTTTCTCCAGTCTCAGGGTTTTCTCTAAAATGTTAAAACTTTCACCAGCTTGTTTGCGCCCTAACACTTTGTTCGTTAATACTTCAAGATGCAATTGAGACTTTGTGTTGTGTTGTCCTTTTTTTCCCCAGTCTCGGGGTTTTGTCTAAAATGTTAAACTTTCGCCACCCTGTTTGCGCCCTAACTTTTCGTTCGTTAATACTTCAAGATGCAATTGAGACTTTGTGTTGTGTTGTCCTTTTTTTCCCCCAGTCTCGGGGTTTTGTCTAAAATGTTAAGCTTTCACCAGCTTGTTTGTGCCCCAACTTTTTGTTCGTTGGTATAGCATTTCTGGCTCGTCGCGTCCCCCAGACAAACAGCATCTAAAAAGGCCGCTAAGAGGGCGTAGCGTATTGTGTTTTCCGTGTTGGTTGGTGGAACTCAATTTGTGAAAACTTGCATCAGGATGATTTGCTACATGGCCAGAAGTTCATGTGCGTGATTTTCTACCAATAACATAATTCGAGATAAGAAGCAGGGAGCGTGTCGAGCAAAGGTAATAGTAAAACGGAAAAAATGAAACACTTAAGGAAATTAAAAGTTTTATTCTCTTCTTGATGGGTGCCTACAGGGCACCCATCGGACAGGTTGGTATGCGCACCACTGGCAGCTTAAAGTGAAGCAGAGCGCGACTTATGACGATTCTTGCGTCGTGACGGGTTCTTGGGGCTAATGCAGTCGTCTGATTGGCTGCTCGGCGATAATGCGATGCCTCGTCGCACCCTCCCCTTCTCCGGCTGTCAATGACTCCAGACCTCTCTTGGCGTCTTTTAGAGGGTCTCCCCGAGTTCTCTGTTGTCTGGAAAATGCTTCATTCGCTCGTCTTGTGCCTCGGATTGCATCCTTTGGCCCGACTGCGGAAAATCTACCGACGACTGATGACGGAAAACGATTTTCCCGCCGACGTAAGTCAACTCACAAATTGCTTGTCTTCTTGGAATTTGTTTCCACAATCTTATTGAAAAAGCGAGATTCCAGTTTAGTGTATCTTGGGCCAAATAATTGTTGGATCTTTTAAGGCTTTGTTTTATGGATTCATAAATATTTGTTGAAAACTAAGAATAGAACGTTCTACAATTTTGGGGTCCCCTAAAAAAGAAGAAAAAAAAAACATTCTAGTCAATTAAAGCAGTATAGGTGGGCTCGCTCCAAGATTGCAAGATTTGAACTGTGGAGAAAATCACGTGAGCGGAATTGTGACTTGTTTTCCCCGAAGTAACATAAAATTTAATAAAAAAAATTAAAAAATTGAGAAAATTGCTAGTCAATTGTCTTGCATGCTTGAAGGATTCTAGCATCACAAACGTTCATATGATCATTTAGCAGCACATCTAGCCTGTTCACGGCGCTCTTCATCGGATAATTTAACGTGTACACTTGAAATGATAAACCTGGTTATCTTCTAGAACATTCTTACCCCCTCCTATTCTCCCACCTCGCCTCCTCGCCTACCCCTTCTTGTCACTCCATCCCTGGTCACATGACCTTCCCGTTAACCAATTAGTGCCGATGACGTCACTCCTCTCCCACCCATCAACCAATCAGTGCCGAGCCTCGCGGCCACGCTTTTATTCAGGCTTCACTTTTTGGTTTGACAAAATGCCGAACATCAAACAAAAGAACGCTTCCCGTTAAAATGTTCACGGGCTTATGAAGCGAAGACACATGGGCAATACAACCTCCACACTTTAGTAGCAAAGAAGTCACCTATGATCGGTATGTCAGCATACTACCCAACCCCTAAGAATCATTATGTATTTTTGTATATGCTGTCATTTTCTAGGTCCAGAATTTTTAAAAAAGAGAGCTTGTGTTAGCATTTTTATCCTGGGGCCATGTTGGTGGCCATGGCGGCCGCAAGAAAAGATCCGAAATCAGTTCATTAGCTACCCAACGAGTTCTCATTTAGTTCTATTTTTAATGTTTATTTCACTTTATAAAGTAATTCAGTTCCGTATAAGAAAAATTTAAAGAATTTTAATTGGGATTCAAACCCATGAGTAAGCGTCCTCCAAGCTTGGACGCGGTCCGTACATAGCTCGCACGATTTTCTCTCGATCGGAGCTTCTCGCAGTTGGCGAGAAGCGGCTCTGATCAAACAGAGAGTTCCAGCAGGGAAGCCTCGACCGCTTTCTGTAGACATGATAAACATGTGCCCTAACGTGCCGTATTGTCTTTTCTTTTCTTCTTTTTTTTTTTTTTCATGCGCGTTATTTTTCTTTAGTACAGATATAACGACGAAGCGGGTATAACGAAGTCATATCAAATTCCCAATCGACTTCGTGATAACCGATCTGACAGTATTACACCTCGAGTTAGTTTATCACATTTTCTTTTAAGAATTGTGCTTTTTTTGGTAGTCGGGGGTACATCCACAGTCACAGCAGTGAATTCCCAGATAACTCAAGATTTGTTTTGTTACATTATACCGATGTTCTCTTGATCGGTGATTAATGCACCGTCGGGTCTGTCCGAAGTAGAACCTGTCCCACGAGAGAGGATTAGAATACACCACACCTTCTTGACAGTCAACGGCATGGTGCCGGTGCTTTTTTGTGCAATGTTTCCTATCTTCACCGATCTTGTTCGCTTTCCTGCACAGAGTACACATCTCTCTGGACCACGAAAAGCTATTTCGACTTCTGTTCTTTTTTCAGTCTTTTTTTTATTATAGGAATTCTTGTGCAAGTACGGAATGACGGACGTTTTTTTGCTACGTTTTCTTGGGCATTCGTCATTGGCTAAACGCTTTCTGAAGTTATTCCGAAATTTTTCGGCGACTGAAGTTATACTCATCTGTGGGTAGCCGGCAATCGCAAGCCTGTCTACTTGTTTTAAGAAGCAATTCGACATTTTGTGGCAACAAATTTTAGAAAGGGTGGAATTAAAGCATAAATTCAAAATTCCTCTGTTCAGGAACTTTGAATGCGCTCAGCCGAACGAGAGGATCGGCTCATTACTTCTGTGCTCAAAAGCTCAGCATTCATGCCCGGCTGAAAAATACAAGCCTAGGTCTTAAAATCTAATGAAATTGTCAATTCATGCGTTAGTTACAAGCGTGCGAGACAGTCTTTAAAAATGCTCAAAGTGCGAGTGAATTCGGATACAAATTTTAATTTTTTTGCAGTGTACAGAAACTATATAAGCGTTTAAAAATATGAAAACTTCTGCCACTTTGGTGCCCTGTATACAATCTGCAATTAGCTTGTCATCATTGGCTAAAGAAAGATCACTCGTAATCGGTCCGATGCAGGAACCAATGCATGCTCCTTGTCTTTGGATAAAAATGTCGTTGTCCCACTTCGAAAAAGTTTAACCAAGATGCTCATCAACCAACGAGCCCAAATATGCCTTTTAGCAAGCTTCGAGAGTGATACCGATCTCACTTCTCAGAGTGTGAACGTAAATTAAAATGGTGACTGGTGATTTGACAGCGTCGCAGTGAAGCATACACGCCGCAGTTTCCGAGGGCTAAGGTGACTACCGCAGTGGTTAACCAGGCTCCCCACTTTTTCACGACGTGGTTCCCACAGCCCGAGAAGAGTGACCTCGTCACACTGATGCTTCACGCGGCCGCCGAGGCAAAGGCTCAGCCGGGATCTCAACCAGCCAACGATGCGCCGAACCGTAAGCACTCGACACGTACTAGTAAAAAAAAAATGAAAGACGTTTACAATCCCCTGTAACGCCGAATTATATCGCAGCTCTTGAGGAGGAGGAGGAAAGGGTACTAAGGAAAAAAAGTGGAAAGTCTTCCACTACTAACATGGGTGTGGATCGAGGTCTGCTTAACGCAAGTCACAGAAAATGCACATCTTTGGTGAAATCATCGCGTGTAAATTTGGCGGGAATTTAGCGGGGCAATCTTTCCCCCTAACTTTAGCGGAGAATTTTTTCCACTAGATTTAGTGGGGAAATTTTTTTTCCGCTAACTTAAGCGGGGAACTTTTTTTCTGCTAAATTAAGCGGGAAAATGTTTTCCCTAGATTTAGCGAAGAAATTATTTCCGCTAAATTTAGCAGAACATTTAGTGTCATCGTCATCATGATGACGTCATCCTCATCGTCATCGTCATCGCGCGGTTACGCCGACGGCGACGGCGACGCCGCTCAAGCCGGAAACGGGCGCCTAAGAGCTGCGCTCTAAAATCGAGTAGCCGTAGCAGTCAATGCTCCTCTATGTCGGCGACCACTCCGGCTGACGCTGTTTATCACGACGCAAAAGAACTCTAGCCACACTCTAACCACACTAAAGAAGTTGAATGTTTCTCGAGGTCTTGCAGGGCGAATTGCTTCTGTTTGCTAACGAAACCATTCGTATATTCCAGAAGAAAAATTCCGGTACGACACCGAAATGGAGTCCAATGCCCTGATCATCCTTATTGCTGGGTAAGTCGGACATCACTCTCCGAGGAAACAAAAAGGCATCTTACCAAAGTTACTGAGCTCCTTTGGTAAAATATGTACTAACCTCTGCTTCAAAAGTTCCGAATCGATAAAAATTCGAAATGTGCATCATTAGATGTTTATATACCAGACTCTCTACAAAGGCTTTTTCAGAATATCGACTCATTCATGTGACATACATTTGCTGTTCCATCTGTAGGCTGTGTCTGCCCTTTTTGGGAACCGCGTTGCAGATAATCAAATTTAAAAAAAAGAAATTATCATTTCAGGAGTGTTCCAATCTGCAAAGCATTGAGTTCATGCGCCTTTTTTCTGGCCAAATACCAGGATATTCAGAAGAAGGCAAGAGCAGAAGTCGAAGCTACACTGGCTCGAGATGTAAGGGCAGAATTTCTTTGTGTTTAGTCCTAACACATCCAAATAATTTATAAATGTTTTGCATTATAGAGAACGCTGACCCCACCTGCACTATTTAAAAATATTTTGCGAGCAACATAATTTGTATTTCCGTCAGTAACGACATCATACAAGTTTCTGAGATAAAACTCTCACCATATCGGTATGGACTATCAATGAGATGTTCAATTATTCCTGAAAACAACATTATAAAATGAGCCTGCGAAAACTAGCTTTTAAAATGGAGTTATGTTTTAAAATGCGCACTTCTTCGTTCCTCACTTCGCCCTTGGTTGTAGCAGAGCGAGCACATATTCCCTTTCTGTCCTTAACTAAAGGCCGTTCTCTCTTTTCCGTCGTCTCATTCGTACGACGAACACTCTGCGCCTCAGTAGATTGCCAAGACTATTTAGTAATGTCCCCTTCAGTTCACCCGTTTTAATTGCAAGGCGTTTTGAAGACGAGAGCCTTTCCAGCAAGCGTATGTCCTCTAGCATAGAATGAATGAATGCATTGATGCCATTGGCTATACCCGTTTGGATCGGGCGATAGCTTACGCCGCCTAGCCTAGAAACATTTACATCCATCCGCATTAACTTTTGCTATAAATATTGGCTCTCGTGAAATCATTTACCCGACGCATGTTAAGTATTGTAACCCTTCTCTAGTGATTCTTGACTAACCTTCGTCTCCTTTTTTTTATTGTAATCTTTCGTTCCTCCGTTCCCGTCATCCTCGCCAGGAGCAAGCTCAGCGCTCCCGCCAAGTCCGTTATTTATAGAGGGCAGGACGTGCATTTAATAGACAAACGTTCTAGCGTCTCGCGGTCACTACGGCAAGGCGTACGGTCACATATCTATCTTTTCAACTTTTGCCGTATATGTATCTCCTAGCACTTAATAGCACTCCCCTTCTCGCCTCAAACTGTACAGAGCTTCCCCGTGAATTGTCAAACCTCTTTCCCATTCAAATGTGCTGTTTTCCCGAGCAGCACAAATTTGGCCTATCATTAGCCGACGGCTGGCGAGGGTCATTTGGCTAGTGGCCAGACAGTGTCCAGCCATGCATTGGTCGATGACTGGCCTTTCTCTGGCCACTGGCTATTGGCCACTGGCCATCAGACATCGGCCACGAATTGGCCGATGAATGGCCCTTTGGAAATTGGCCAAAAAGTTATCGCCAGCCATTGGCCAATGCATGGCCAAAATCCGTGAAGCATGGTTTACAACCTGTATACGTACTGATACACCCGATTTTTTCCCTCTTAAATTTTTTTTGTTTCTTTACTTTTTATTTAACTAAACTACTTTTCTTTCCCCGATACTAGTGCGTAAGTGTTTAAAAGTCAGCTTTCGGGTTCCTTCCGTTAATGTTCTATTAACATTTTTATGCCAAATTGCTTCCATGCTTTTCGTGCCTAACAAGCACCCTCCATTTCAGTTAATTTTTCTTCAAATTTTACGTTACTTATTGCCTTTCAGCTTGGAAAGGATGACAGACCCATGTCTCCCTGTACCTCCTCATTTGATGGGAATTTTGCTACGTTGCCGCCAATCCCCAATCCGCCCTTGCTTCATTTTCTAATTAACAATCCCGATTGAACGTCTCACCTCATTGCGCAGAAAACTCCCCTTTGCCAAAAAATAGTCCAGGCGCAATCAGTAATTTCCATATACCCCTGATTACTTCATACCTCTACTAAAATCCTACTGTGCCTGGAGTTTCATAATTGCAAAATTATTGTCTCTTTTCTTAATATATATTCGTAGTGCTTTTATAGATATTTCCTTCACTCCTTAAGTCATACCTACAGACGTGTTTTCTTGTAAATTGTCTATTGGAATGCGTTGCAAAATGTGTTTTCAGGGGTTCCTTATTTTCGTTGTTAAATACCGTCACTCCATACCTCTATGAAGTAAGTCTCAGGTCCCCAAGATGTCCCCTTTCCTCTCTGCATGTGCCAGGTATAGTCCCTACAATGTACTTCGGATATTTGCCATGGGTGCTATATACAGGGTGTCACAAAAACAAAATCTTCAGGTGTTTTTTTTTCACTCGAAAAATAAACTACGCACGGCCGAACGCTTATTTTCCACCCAAATATGTAGCGCCAGGGGTCCGAACCAGATGTCAAAGTTTCACCATCTTAATAAAAGTTATAAGTGGTTGCATTGACAGTGTTCAATGTGAAAATGGCGGTCGACGCAGCTCTTCAATACATGGAGCTCTATGGCCCCAGAAACCGAAGACGGGCCAAGACTGGCTCCATTTTTCCATTGGAAGTTTCAAATAATAGCAGAACTTTTTCATAGGATATCGGTTAGTGCGGAACTTTGGCTTATGGTTCTGACGTCTAACGCTACATTTGGGTAGAGAAGGAACGTTGGGCGACGCATAGTTTATTTTTGCGCTTAAAAACACCCTGAAAATATTTCGGGGAGTACACCCTGTACTATGACCCGTTTCGAAAGTGCACCTCTGTTAGAAGCGGTGTAATCACTGCATAATTGCGGACGCACGCGCTAGCTTCTTGAGTTTCATTGCACTTGCTCTACATAAGCCTTCTTGCTGCAGGAGTAGCTACGCGCTGGCGTCAGTTGCAGGATCCGGGCTGTCGGTTGGCGAACGAAATGTTGCCGCGTTTACTAGATATTTTTAGAAAAACGTACACAATTTTAGCGCACGTTAGCGGTAACTTTAGCACTTGCGTTAGAGCGCACATTAAGGAGGATAGTTTTAGAATAGGATTTCTCCACAGCGACGCAAAAGCCAAGTATTGATTAATTGTAAGAATTTGACGCGAGCGGTCCACCGGTTGTGTCCGCTCAAGGCGCCTTGGCAATAGCTAGAGCTCTCTTATACCTACACGCCGAGAAGCGTTGGCGCGTCGCAAACAGCAAGTTAACGGCGATCGCTGTCCAGTTTGCCAGTCCTTCCAAACCTTTCGTGGCGTGCGCCTCATATAGGAATGCAACGTCGTCCTATTCAAAACTGAAGTTGGGAGGATGCCGCCGACATTGCACCAATGACGGCGACCAAGCAGCCGCAGTCCTGAGGAAGCCGCCATTTTCTAATTATGCTCGTCTTTGGTGCCGACTTTTCGCGCAGCGCATCATGAATTTTATGAGGAGGAACGCAAAGGCGGCGAAAAATCTTTCTATACATCGCAAATTTCTTAAAAATAGCGTAGGTAAAACATTTGCGTACGAATAACTACCGCTTCAGAATAAAAGTTTCACCGCTACCGCTATGGTCAAGTATCGCGCTGTAATCTTGGGGCTGTGGCTTCAATTCCCCTTGGAGGTCTTTCAAGGATTTTGTTCCGTCGTCTCATTTTATCAACTTACAACTATCTCGCGCAGGTGCCTTTGTTTCGCATAAAAGAGCGCAGTATTTTTTCAAGGGGAGGAGAGAGAGGGGGGCGGGGTTTGAATAAGATGTTATCGCATTTCAAACAAGGATACTTGCGTGCAACAAACACACTCTTTCAGTATCGTTGTTTGTTTTCTGTGCGTAACATAACATCGAAACTTGTTTTCTAGGGTAAGCTCACTTTCGACAACATTTCGGCCATGCGGTATTTGAAGCAGGTCCTTCTGGAATCTCTCCGTTATACGTCGTCTGCATTCGGGTGAGTCTTCGATTCCCTCTGCTCTCTTTGTTCCCGCCGCGAAGCCCACTTAAGCTCCATTTGCGCTTCACCTGGCGGTGGTGTACTGAACGGGGAAAGTCGCCGCGCCAAGAACCTCAGATGCCACGGTCGCTGCTCGGCGTAGTACTTTCCCTCAGAACACTCGTTGAGTGCGCTTCGGTTTATGATGCTGCTGGCTCGGTAAACGACGGGGAGGCCAAAAGGTTCCACATGTCAAAGTGTAGTCTGCGTCGTGACACATGTGAAGCGTCATGTTCAGTGTCACACCGCAAAGGTAACTTTCTGACCGAGCTTATCTTCTGGATTTGTTAAATTCTCTGGTTTTCTTTCTTCTTTATTTTATTTTTTTTTTAAATCGTAGCCATTGGCTCTTTTCTCCTTTGCAGGAGCATGAAGAAAGCAGTAGATATTTTGTTTAGAATGTCTACGTGTGAGCGAGTATAGACCAGTTCCAATGATCGCCTTTTTGCGCTCCGCCATCTTTGTCGACAGGGCTGTGGAGAGCTACTGCGTGCGCAGTAGCTCTCCTCTGAGGAGCAACAGACGTCCCAGACGACTCCACAGCCCAAGGTCTCGGTATTCTGTGCCTGTCTCATGAGCTCCAAACAGGTGTATAGAAGTGAAACGTTTGCAGAGCATGGAATTTAGAAGAAGTAGAGAAGAACGCACTCCCAAAGCTCGAAACCCACCAAACACACCTCGTGGAGTTACTGCTCCGGCCCTCAGGCGCAGGTATCAGGGTAATTTCATTTTTTTCTTTTTTTGGGGGGAGGGGGGAGGGGGAGGGGGAGGGGGGACGCTACAGAGTAAAAAAAAATGTATATAACGAAGTAAGAGTGCGTGTCTTCCGCACTTTCACTTGATGAGTAAGTGTATAATTATATACAAATTAAATTGATTAATTTCCTGCTGTTCTTAGCAAGAAACGTTTTGCTTCTGCATCTAGCTGGGAAATTTTATTGCGCTATTATTTACGCTAATTTCATTTGCCCTCTAAATTTAGCATAGAATTCGCGTTACGCTTCGTCGCGCACTTGGTCTTTAAGGCTCTTTTTTCTTCTTTTTTTTTCAAAGCCTTTAGCCCCGTACATGTCCTCTGCAAGAGACAACGCGAGGCATGTTGGTAGCCTTGAACTCTCAAGTGGATGATCGGGCATTGTTTGGTCGCAGGAAACGCACGTGTGGGAAAAAACCGGCTCGAAGGATGGCCGCAGTTGTCGCATTCCTTTTTCTATGCAGAGTCGATTATATATCCACATTCCGTTCTTTAAGCGTCTGTTTAATTACAAGGCGTTTTGTTCTGTTCAGGCGAATCCATAAATGTGTGCGTAAGTGTACCGTAATTAAAACAGATGCGTTTTATGTCGTAGTCAATTCTCCATATGTGGAAGCTGTAACTGTGTTATTTCAAAGAGTTGTACGCTTTATTGTTCCGTTTGCGTTTTCCAGCGAAGTCGATTACATTCACGTGCCAGTGCTTTGAGCATCTGCTCATCGCAAGGTTGTTGCCTGTGTTGAGTTCGACGAATCTATGTATGTGTGCGCAGGTGCGCATCCGGCAAAAAAGATGTGCTCTTTATTTCAGATGAAATCCTCTACTTGTCGAAGATACAACCGTCTAATTTCACGCGTTATGGCCTGTGGGCGACATGCTTGACGATGATTCATTTAACTCTCAACAAACCTAAATGGGGCAAGGGGACCTGCGTCTCGTTTAAGTTTGCCAACTGGAGTGACCGAGGTGCGTTGGTATACCCAGAGATATCCAAAAAAAAAGATAGGGATAAGAAATGTGTATACCATGGTAAGACCATCCGGTATTTATCTTCAGGTATAGTGCCAGAAAACCATTACAAAATCTTCCCCATCAATGAGTTCTAAAACCTACCGAATTGGGAATAAAACAACTTGTAACGACTGACGTGTGAATTCCTTTGCCAACGTTTATGAAAACATTCCAAGATCAGCGTTTGCAATGTTGGCAGACAGTAATCTAATTCCGCCGATATCGCTGAGGTGCACCCAAAGCTGACGAAATACGAGTGTCAGAAAATAATTCCGCAGTACGAACATGCTCAACGTCATCGATCATAATGCGAGAGGCTGTTAATTCTTCCTCGTGCTAAAAAGAAGTTAGGAGAGCTGAACTCAGTAAACCCTGAAATTTGAAGACATTAAACATTTAGTTTTGTTGTCGTCCCTGTTTGTCGCAGATGTATTCTCGTGACGCTGCTTTTGTGTGCGTGCTTTTTTTTTAGTCCAATAATAACGCCTTGCCATACATTATTCTATATACACGAAGTCATCTAGCGAAAGCTTGCGTGCATTAACAATGCAACAGGTTTTACAAAGAACAAAATGCACGTAAATTATTAATCGTTTTCCGTAGAAGGAAAAAATGGGACCTCAGTGAACATCCATGTTTTTATAGGCTTTGATGCTGACTATTCTGAAGAAGGTTTTCTTGTGACTAAATTTCAATCTGGTTTGTTTACCTGATCAATAGACTATAGTGTTTGTTAATTATGTGAGTACAATGAAACATTTCTGGCGAAATACAGAAAAATCTTTCTTTTTAACAATATCGTCAGTGAGGGAGTTCCAGTTTGAAATAGACAGCGCAAGTGGTGACGATTTTGACCTATTAATGGGACCGAATATTGGCTCAACCTTCAATGAATGATCATCACGTAGGGAAATATACGTGGAAGGCTTCCAGTACATCAGCATGAAAGATGGCATGTTATAATATATTTCATGAGATAGAGAAAGACGAGATAGTTTGCGACGTACATCGAGTGAAGTTAGGTTTAAAAGACCCTTAAGTTGAGAGACGCTGCTTTTGAAAGAATAGTTACGATGAATGAATCGCGCTACCCTGTTTAGAATTTACTTAGCCTATTGATCAGGTAAGATTGGTGAGGGTCCAATATCGTGCTTGCACATTCAAGTCTAGATCGGACGAGGATTTTGTATGCCATTATTAGCTTTACATCCTGTCGGGCTTGGCAAAAGCGCCTCCGAAGAAAACCAAGAGTTTTAGATGATTTGTTAAATATGTTATCAATGTGAGAATTCAAAAACAGGTTCTCCGTGAAAGTGATACCTAGGTATTTATAAGAGGGGACAGGTGAAATAGCAACAGAGTTGCAAGAGTAGGATGTAATATATGTTTGTGAACGATTATAAGATACCATATTAGTTTTCACGATATTAATATTATTTGTCAAGTTAGGCACCATTCCGGTAGAACCTATGCCTCGTTGGAGGGTTTCCGAGTGACTGGGAAGGAAAATTCGGCGGTATATTACACGATGGTCTGCAAAAAAGTACGGATGACGAAATTAGCGGAGGTGGGTCATTAATGTAAACCAGAAAAAGCAAGGGTCCTACGACGCCCGACTACCCGATTTTACTCAGTACACCCGATTTTACTGAAATAGGATGGGATGGGGGGGGGGAGTGTCGTCGATTGACACAAACTGTTCGCTATTACCTAGAAAGGAAGAAATCCAATTGATAACGTCGTTGTTTATGTTTAGAATTTAAAGTTTTCATAGTAATTGTTGATGAGAGACAGTGCCGATGGCTGTATACGGTTCGTGCCTTCCCGCGAACTATTTTCCGTAGCATCGTGGCAGGAGGTCTTCAAGACATTTCAAATGACGACCTATTGGACTACCTTCAATCGCCCTTGTTTCATTTCCGCACGAAAACGGCATGCCATTTTATTCGCCTTTCAAGCAATGATTTGTATGACGCGCTAGCACGGTCTGTAGGTGGTCGATACCTATACAATTTAGGTTGCTCCTGAGGTGCGTTACGTTTGGGATTCCAGCTTTATGCGGTTTCATTGTTCTTTGAGCTAGGGGTTTTTCTTTCGGTTTGTTTTATTTCCCAGTGGATTCAGTGTTTTATTGTGTCCATCTTCAGTGCCGGACAAATAATAATAAAAAAATAAAGTCGGCGATTACGGGGGCGTATGTGGAAACAAAAACTAGATAGGGACGTAGGGTTTCCCAACCCTTAGCGAACATGCGCGCGAGCCAAATACTTGGAAATTATCTCGATACCGATAAGTGCCGTTGATAAAGAGAACAAAGCGCGACAACGTCTGCGGTTCCCGATGAAAGAAGCAGCATCGCAAACACTTCAGCGCGTGCTGTTTTCGGGCTCCGCACAAAGTGGAGCTGTACATGATTTTGACGTCATGATGGCGCTTAAGACGAGGACAAAAGGGAGACTAGACAACACGGCGCGCTACTTCAACTGTTTATTTTTGAAAAAAAAAAATGGGGGGGGGGGGGGGGGGGACTATATACACTTAAACCGCTTTACCTCAGCCAATCCCAGGCCTCACCGTCGCTCGAAAAAACGCTATCTTCTTGTCCAACAGGTCAATAGAGGCAGCGCTGACACATTGTGCTCCAGACTGTTTTATCAAGTCTGCTTCTATTATTTCCCTGACCGTCTTATCATTGTGTCTGGCTAGAATCGCGCACGTGTTGAACAAGGGCCTGCATCCACAATCGTGACAATGAACTGAAAGATGACCGTCACGGTGGTTATTAACATTCAAATTGTGCTCTCGTAACCTATATTTAGGCATCTGCCTGTTTCCCCGATGTACTTTTTACCGCATGACAACTGAATCACGTACACGACTCCATCTGCGCAACCGACAAACGGGTTTCCTTGCTTCTTGCCACAGCACAGGGGGCTTCCGCGAAAGGGGTTCGTTCATTCGCACAACCTGCCTAGCTTCTCCGGAGCTGAGAAAACAACCTTCGTATTCGCTCGGTTATCTGCTTTTTAAGTTTGTGCGCAGTTTTGTGCACATATTGGACAACCGCTATTTTTTGTTTAACTTGTTTCTCTTTAACTAAACCCGAACAAGGGTTATCTTGAACACTCAGCCCCCTGAGAACGCCTTCCGCAACAGACAAATAAACAGTTGAAGTTGCGTTCCGTGTTGCCTAGTCTCCCTTTTGTCCTCGTCTTAAGCGCCATCATGACGTCAAATTCCCAGTACCAACTAGCCCAACAATCTGCACTAAACATGATGTTTTTCTTTCCGCGAAGCTTGGGTTATCTTCTACACACAGACATTTCTTATTCGGGATTTCTCAGTTTTCCTCCAAACCTGCTTGGCGATAGCTCCTCGGGGTTTATCGATAAATACCGAAAACAGGGAACCCCATTGTTATGGTTGAATGTTGGACGGTTACAGGTGCTTTGGGTAGGCTGTAAGGCTTTCGAATGCATGGGAATCATTAAAAGAGGAAACTCCGGTCAAAAACAAAACCAAAATAAATTACTGGTAGCGCTCGAATGGCACGAAATATGATTACAGCCGAAATATTCAGTCAAATTGAAGTCGCGTACTCCACTTAAACTGATTTTAAAAGTGCGACCAGCTGCTCATTAGCAGGTGGAAATCGGGTTAGCTTTTTAGGTTTTTATTCAAGCAACAGTAGGCGACGCGTAACGCAGCACCAACGTGACGCCACGTCGCATCCGTACAGCTTATGATCAATGTTGCCATTCCTCTCTAGCAGATGGTTTTGGTTTTGCCGTAGACGCCCGAAACCAAACTTTGAGCCGTGATATTTATACAACTACACACAATAACAAAAAATATATACCTTATAATTCAGGAAAACAGAGTGATCTGAAAGCGGTCGTAATCAATATTTCGAAAACCGCCAACGCACAATGATATCCTTAAAGGGATACTAAACCGCAATCTGGATTCCACAAAACACACGGCGAAAGCGTGCAACCGGATGCTACATCACTCATACAGCAATATCTCAAACGGATGACTGTATTTTTCAAGAAAAGGAGGCGCATTTGATAGAAATGTTCACTTCATGTTTCTCCGACAAGGAGGGGGAACGGCCTCGCGACTTCTGCGCCTCGCGGTCTTGAGAGAGCGAAGCGAAGAGAGGAGGAAACTAGGTATCGTCACGGTCACGGGCCTCGTCGGCCTGGTTCAATCTCGACCTCTTTTTCCCAAAATACGGCCGTCCATTCGAGATATCGCCTTACGAGTAGTGTTGTAGAGATTGTAGCGTCCCGCCTACATCTCCTGCATTGTTTTTTCTGAAATCCAAATTTCGGTTCACCATCCCTTTAAGGGAAACCTTGTACAAGTTCTGATCACGGACATCGGGAAGTAACATAGACTGTCCAAACGTTTTGTGGGCGGCCCTTAATTGTCTGATCCTGTGGGAATTCAATTGAGAGTATACTCGTCCCAACGTCCGCTGCTCGTGGCACGATTTAAAACTGTTGCCACGGACGCACATGCCCATCACTTACAGATTCAACACGCGCATCACGGGCCAGGAGCATTCCTACAAGGGCTTGACAATCCCGAAGGGAGTGACCGTCGTGGTGCCGTCCTTCGACCTCCACAATGACCCGGACCTTTTTTCCAAGCCGGAGCTATTCGATCCCGAAAGGTGGCCCCTTTTTTCGTAATTGACGGATCTCGATGCGGCGTCAGTTGATGCTCGAACTCTCACAAGTGCACAAACGCACGTTGCACCGAAATGCACCCCAAACACCAATTAAATCTTATCAACCAACGAGAGGGGCCATACCCCAATGGACATTCGGTTCTATCCGCCAAGGAAGGAACACATTTAGTGACACCGAGAGAGATTGAGGAACGAACTTTAGCTAACGTGGATAACGGAAACACAGTACTCCTATTAGAGAAAGGACGCCAGCGTGAACTTCTGCTGAGATTGTATGATTGAGACAGTGAGTCAACACTGTCCCAGCACGGTGTGGCATCTTATCCGGTTCAGCTGAGTTGCCACACTATGCTGGTTACTCCGCAGAGTTGTTCAAGCTACGCACGTAAATTAGCGACGCCAGGTGGCGGACCAAAAACTTTCGTGGTTATCATGTCAAATCATAGACTCCTCTATACTGAAAAAGCGTGGCAGATCGCCACAAGACGCGGCCGCCGAAAGTGAAAAGGTGGAGCGGCTGACAACAGTCATGCAACGAGCGCACCGCTGCGGCGAGACGCCGAAACACACTTCTGCCGAGCGACGGAATGTCCGCTCGTGCTCCTCGCGCTCCTCGAGCTAACGCTTTTTTTCTCGTCGGGTTTGAAAATAATGTTTCGGACCCACACCGCTGCAAAAGCTTTGCGCTGAATGCCAGGTTCCCCGAGAAATGTTCTCTACTACCAGAGCCTCACGCTCCAAATCTGCGACCGGGCACTCTATGGCTCCGCCGTCGAACTGGCAGGCTTTGTGAGTATAGAGGAGGCAAAGGTCAAATCTCTGGCCGCACGCGCGCTTGCGCGTTTTGAGCACCAATCAAAGCTGCGCACGCGCACTCTTCACTTCTGAAACTTACACAAAAAGGTAAATTGCACAGTGAGGTTCGGCACCCATTTTGCGAAGCGCGGGAAGACTATACCGGTTGAAGTACTGAAATGTGGATGCTCGCGTTGCGAATGATCGGACAGAGAACAATGTCAGGAGTTTTGTTATGTCGCCAGCGCTCTGTAGCCACCGCGAATCTGACCCATCCTTGCAGATTCGACGGGAAGGGCAAGAGTGCCGAGGACACGGCCGCCCTGCAGGTGTTCAACAACGGCCTGGGTACCTGCGTTGGGATGAAGCTCGCCCAGGTGGAGATCGTGCTGGCCCTGGCCCGTCTACTGGCCGAGTACCGACTGGTGCTGGACGAGACGCGGCACACGGTCAGTGTGGGGTCTTGAAAGCTATCAAAAAAGAATCCAGCGCCAATTATAATTTCCCTCCCTCAGTCATCAGACACACGGAAACCAACTCGCTCTAAACTTTCTCAAAAAAAGAAGAACACTCATTGTAAAAGGGTTGATAACTGGGCTAGTTGGTAGTTACACATATGAACGGCATTAGCGCACACGTATGAGGAAGAGAGAAGGGACAGAAAAGAGCGCTACTCAAACTGTATTTACAGAGATGAAGAAAAGAAAGAACATCGTCCAGCTCCCCATAAAGATGAAAAAGGAAGAAGAGGAAGCAGAAATATAAAACAGGAATATAAAACACAAAGTCGGGTGTTCCCTCGCGCGCACAGGCTTAATGCACTGGTTCTTTGATTAAACCCTAAAACCTTTTTTGGCTGTGCCTTCGTTGTCGTGGTGCAGGGTGTGTTTGCCTCAGTCTTCGCTCGCGCCTGGTCACCCGTGTCAGGGGGGAGACGAGCACATCATCCATGGTCGGCTGCCGCTGGGTCGTCGTGCCTGATGTCTCGCGGCTCCCGTGACTCATGCGAGTTCTGCATTGTCCGTCTTAAAAAGTCTGTTTCCTTGCTTGTCAAGGCTACCGATGCAACACTAATGCATTTAGTAGCTGCGGATATGATGTAGAAGGCTTCTACCACTTCGCGGGTCATTTTATCCTTGTGCCTCTCTAGGGTTATTGTTTCCCCGAACAGCGGATTACAATTTCACTCCTTGCAATGTGTTGCAAGATGGCCTCCCACTGGTGGCTCTCAAAGAATAATCATTCTCGCGAAGTCGGTCGTTAAGACACCTGCCTGTTTGCCCTACGTAGACCTTGCCGCAGGAGAGTGGAATCTTGTATACCACGCCTGAAGTGCACGGAACAAAAGGTTTAGCATGTTTTTTTGTGCACCTCTGTCTTGTGGCACCTTCGGCTTGCGAGTTGACTATGGAGCAAATTTTGCTCATTTTTTGCGGGGCTGAAAATACCACTCGGACCCCATACCGACCTGCCACGTTCTTTAAATTGTGTGACGTCTTGTGAAGGTACGGGATTACCACCGGTCTTGTCTTTCCTACATCTTGTTTGTTGGCTTGGAGGCCTTTTGCCCTTTTCAACAAGGTGTCCGCTACATTAGCCAGTAGTGGTAACGGATAGCTGGCTTTTCTGAGTCTTTCAACCTGCATCGAGAAGCTGGCTTCCATTGTGTGGCAACATGATTTCTTGAGCGCGGATCCCAAACATGTCAGAGCAATGCCCCTCTTGACGATCTTAGAGTGAGCCGAACTGAAATCCAAAATTCGTTTCTTAGAGCGTGGAGAGTACGTCCAGCACACATGCGTATCACCTAAGTGAAGCGAAAGGTCTAAAAACTGGAGAACGTTTTCTTGATGCAGAACTCGCATGAGTCACGGGTGCCGCGAGACATCAGGCACGACGACCCAGCGGCAGCCGACCATGGATGATGTGTTCGTCTCCCCCCTGACACGGGTGACCAGGCGCGAGCGAAGACTGAGGCAAACACACCCTGCACCACGACAACGAAGGCACAGCCAAAAAAGGTTTTAGGGTTTAATCAAAGAACCAGTGCATTAAGCCTGTGCGCGCGAGGGAACACCCGACTTTGTGTTTTATATTCCTGTTTTATATTTCTGCTTCCTCTTCTTCCTTTTTCATCTTTATGGGGAGCTGGACGATGTTCTTTCTTTTCTTCATCTCTGTAAATACAGTTGTGAGTAGCGCTCTTTTCTGTCCCTTCTCTCTTCCTCATACGTGTGCGCTAATGCCGTTAATATGAAGAACACTCATTGGACCACATTGGCCCAATGGACGAGGGGGGGGGGGGGGGGGGGAGCTTGGCCAATGGCGGGGGGCGGGAAAGTCGTCTCGTGCCAGCGAACGCGATGTGATCGCACGTCGCGATTATCTAGTGTGTTGAAGACCGGACCCCTTTTAGGTGTTTGCTGCCTCGTCATTCGCGGAGGGTCCTTCCGTATAGACGACGGAACTATGAGCAGTTTGTTTTCCACGGAGCCCCCGTTGTTTTTCTGGCACAAGGCCCCGTAGAAAGGATTCGTCATCGACATCGGTCAAACGCGGCCACCGCTTGAAAATTGTTGCGTCAGTGTTCAGCTAAGACGTTCAAACTGCACTGACTGAATGACAGACTTATGCAGCGTTTAGTTACGTCAGCCCTAGTGCAGCGAACCACACCTAGACAGAAGGCCTCCGCACGCGTCATCACAATCGGATGGATCGAGGCGTGAGATCATGCACGAGTGCTGTGTCAGTGTTCGGCTGGGGCTCGTGTCCAATCAGGGCGTCAAAGGTCGGAGCGCGATCCGACTCTGATGACGTTTCATAGAGGGAGAGGAGACCATGTGGAGGCGTTCTGTCTAGGTGGTGTTGGTGCAGCGTAACAAATAGAAACAAATAATGTATGTTGTTGACCCCGTGGGTTTCGTTCTCTCCGCTTGGGGCGCGACGGTTGAATCTTCTCCCCGCACTGATCGGCTTTTCTACGTACGGCGATTTTGTCGGTCACCACCAGCTTTAAAAGGTAACTCTGGTCGAAAACGAAACCAAAAAGAAATGACTGGGATCGGTTTTGGTGGCACAAAATATGACCACAGTTGATATATCGCCGCGAGCGCAGCTGACCATGTAGGCAGTGCGCCCGTGGCGTGACGGTTATCGCGCTTGCCTTTTACGCAGTAGGCCAGGGTTCGATTCCTGGTCGCGACATGTCATTTATTTATTGTTGCAGTTTACTGTTCTCGGAAATTCGAGAACTCTGTTGAATGTTCGAGGTCAGAATGTTCGACGCGCGAACCTTCCACGGTCGATTGGTTCGAGAAGTCCCCGCGTGTACAAAAAGGGCTCCGCGTGGCAAGCCGCAGTCAGTTTCGCCCCAGCGTTCGACTCTGCTGCTACGCCGACTTCGACGCCTGCGACGCTCTGTTATTATCTTTTGTACCCTCTTTATTTTTGGCACAAGTTCGCCACATTAAACGTTTATTTCTTCCTGTTTATTTATTGTTTTTTTTTGTTTTGTTTTTTTTTTTTGGCCACCACCCGTGACAATATATACTACGTCAAAGTGAATCCGCGTACCTATCGTGGACACTGTTAGCTATAACACGGCAGCGGCGGCCGCCCCGTACCCCCAGCGCCCCATAGCAGGCGCCATCCGAAACTGCGCACATGCGCCGTGTGGCGTACTCGCTCTTCCCGCCTGCGAGCACACCCTCGCTGTGTCGTCTGCTAGGCACAGAGCAGACGACGCCACAACGCTCGCCAATTTTCGCTGAACATGTTTCAGCGAAACGCCGCGTATGAGGTGCCCACGGTTGATTCCCTGACTCTGCTGGCTAAGGATAATCATCGTATACTAAATGTAACATCACGGTAGATTACATTTTTTTATAAGACAAAACTTGCAGTTATCATCCGTTTCACTTTAGGTCTAAGTGCTTCGGACGCTACGAGACGATATGACCCACCAAGCAGCGACACAAGCACTTTTTGCACTTTATTGGGACCCCCGGGGATGCACTCCGTGACGTTGCACCTTTGCCGCTATTTGATTGGCTCTGTCATTTTGAAGCGTACGCTGCGGTCGGAGTTAAGGTGAAATGGAGTATAACAGTCTATTTCTGTATCACACCTACTGCGCTCATACTGGTTTGCGAACGCATATCGGTAAAAATGCTGTTTCTGACAAAGCAAAAAAAAAAATCTTAAACAGGGGTTATGCCCTAATGACTCTGCAATCTGCCCCAATACAAATCGCCGGTTGAAAATGAGTTAGAGCCCAGTTCGCTATAGCGAGGGTACCCGACGAGCAGCACTGTAGCATCGCCTTCTCTGCGCCTAGCAGACGGTAAAGCGAGGGTGTGCTCGCAAAAGGGAAGAGCGAGTCCTCCGCACGGCGCATGCGCGGAGTTTCGGACGGCGCCTGCTATGGAGCGCTGGGGGTACGGGACGGCCGCCGCTGCCGTGTTATAGCTAACAGTGTCCACGATAGTACTGCACTAAAACCGATATTACAGACGGGACCAGGTGCTCTTTTGGCGGGTGGCAAACGGATTAGCTTTTGGTCATGTAACACTGGGCAACGCGCTTACCGCAGCACCATCATGACGTCATGTCGCGCCCGTACAGCCAACGTTACTAGATTACCTCAGTTGTGGAACTCCGGCTGAAGGGGGTAGCCCCCCTCAATCACTTCAATCCACCTGCCATCGTTCGAAGCGCCATCTAAATTCTCGTTTTATAACTGTACGTTTCATAGAGCTGCAGAGAGCAGAGCAAAAACGCCATCTAGATGCCGTGCTTCGAAACGAACGTATCCGATAGGATACACTGCAGAAACCAAAGCAACCGTGCGGCGCGTCGAGCGACGCCAGGCGAGTCGTGGTGAGTGAGGGTGGGTTCTGCTCGTGCATGCAGGGCGTCTATGAGCAGTTCACTAACTGAGCTAGTCTAATAACGTTGCGTACAGCTGATGATCAGTGTTGACATTCCTCTCTAGCAGATAGTTTTGGTTTCGCCATAGACGCCCGAAACCAAACTTTGAGTCGCGATAATTATAAAACTACACACAATGTCGAGAGAAAACTTATACCTCGTAGTTCGGGTACACTGACTGAGCTGAGAACAGTTGTAGTCCCTAATTCGAAAATATTAACCTGAGTTGCCGTACAAGGCGGGAAGAGTCCCGAGCGTATCATTACAGCTCCATTAGAAGGGCCAAGAACATGAAAAACCACGCGTTTCTTAAGCCTAACTAGATATCTAGCTTTCACCGAGCTCAGTCATGCATCATAGAGAACTAAGAGGCCTCAGTTTACCCCGACCGAAGCAAGACACGCTGAAATTTATCCCCAAGCTTTTCGTAACGTATATTGGCGTTCAGTTTATTCGAATAAACATTCCAATATAGACTGAACGAAACATGCCTCGCGAGGAAATCTTCGAGGTGAGGAAAGGTTTTCGATCGTCTTTAGAGTTGTCATAAAGTAAAGTATAACGAGTCATACTTTTACAAGTATATCTCTCCTCATAATTAGCACCGTTCATATAAAAAAAAACAAAAAACGGGAGACATGCTACAAAAAATAAGAACATGTTGCCTTGTTTTTTTTTTCTTCCTTTGATACTCGTTTTTTTTTATCTTTGTGTATCCTTTAGAAAAGATTTTAAGCATTCTGAATATTATGAAGCAGGTAAAGCTGCGGAAAAACTTGGGCGGTTTGAGGCTCGCGTAAAACTGACCGTTTTGCCCGGGCCAGGTACCTTCATTTAATCTCTGTGCACTTCCATTCGCTCTAGGGGGGACGCCAAGAGTCACACATGATCGCGAGGAATTTCAAGAACCCGGAAATCTGGATCAAGTTTGAGAACATCGTGAAACCATCTGCCACGTCGAACGGAACGGTGTTCGACTGAAGAGGAGCGTTAGAAACAAAAGACTCACGAGGAACGCGAAGGAAATTAAGCCGTCCATCGGGCCTCCACAACTATAGCCTAGAATATGAGACCAGTGGCGTCGAAACAAAGGACGGGGGGGGGGGGGGGGGGGGGGGGCTTTAATTCCCTCCCCTCCCTTTAGACCTTCAAAAAAACTTAAAGTAAACAATACAGGCAGGAGATGAATCCCCCTCAGCCCCCACACGCCCCCAATCCGCCGAATAGACCCGACGTCTGTGGAAAACATCTTCAGAGTACGTCATCCTTAGTTGATCTCTATGCTGTCAGTGGCCAGACATAGCCTCCTATACATGAGGCTATGGGCCAGCATGCTAAATGTCGACGATAATACGCGGCAAAGCTCTTGGCGCGTACACCTCGGAGCAATATTCCAGCTTTTCTCCCTGTCCCCTCGCGCCTATTTTGTACTCTGGTTGTAAAATAAATTAATTGAATTGAATGACAGGGCCCTCTAGCGTGCCTTGATCATTAGGAATTAGCCCTCGAGCAATGTCGCCATCTGCTGCGACAGATGCCCATGTGCTCCTAACCTGCAAAGAAACAGATACTAGGACGACTCAAGAATAACTGCCTAAGTGCGCCGTCACTGCATCTATTTGACAAGAAGTTCGCCTTCCTGTTTTTCAATAAATAATCCAGCTGTCAGCAGCGCTCGGTGTCATCTTGTTATCTGTCTTTGAAGCGCTTATTCATTCGACGCACCCAGTAGTGCAAATAATAGATCGCGCAAAGACGTGGTGAGCAGCGCTGTTCTCAATTAAATAATTTGAGTAATCTTTTGTATGAACTAGACAGCAGTAATTTTACATCAAAGTGTAGTCGTTTAAGTGGTGAGCTTGTTTTGAGAACATGTCAAAAACACTTGCCGCAATCGAAAGTTACCAATAAAATACACAACTTTCTAGTAGACTGATATAGGGTTGAGCCTCTCGTGAGATATTAAAAAGAAATTAGAAACAAAAGAACGATGATGTGGACTGTTTGGTATCTGAGCAAATAAAAAAGAGAAAGAGAGAGAGAGAGAAAGAAATGGGGACAACGAAACTTAATCTTGCCTTTGGCCTCGTGCCGTTTCCGACGTTTCACTGCAGCAAGGTTCCATTTGACTTGAACCTCCGTTTGACTTGAACCTCCGGAGAATTTTGGTCTTATACGTTACTTTCAAACGAGAAAAGTTGTTTTTTTTTTTTTTAACACATACGCCCGCACAAGATATGTGTTGATTTAAGTCTGCGGTAAACTACAGGGTCTTAGCGTGCTGCGCTTATATATTATTTAAAGCTATTAGATTCATTTGGTTGATGCTCTATACTCTTACGTATTTGCACTCTTTTTTCGGCTTGATGCAACAACTTATTGTTTACTTAAATAGGAAGCGTAATCTAGATGTCTAGGACACTCGATCCATCTTACACAGACTTAGCGAGAAACAACAAAATGAAAGACATACTCGCAGCAACTTTCGACAAACGAAAGGATATGTCCTTGCAAGTTGGGATTGATGTTTGTCCGCCCATGTTCTCTCCAAAAATTGGTGTATAGCACAACTAATGGACTCATTCTGACTTTGTTGATTCCCTTGCAAGCTTTATTCAACGGAAAATATGCCACACTACGTGAAAATGCGAGCAAGAACAAGAGGTTAAAAATTTTGTATATGAGTTTAGACGGAATACTTCCGATGGAAAAAGATTAATTAGGTCTCGCCTTTGTAAAATTACGGGAAATAATAATCTGAAAAATCGAGAAATATAGACATGCCGAAGAATGTTACAGGTATACTTAATTTCCCATAAGATTGATGGGACTGGCCTCCGCTTCCAGAAAGCGCGGGTGCTACGCAAATTTTCCCACATTGTAAAATTTGTAGTTATACTCGTATCTGCTGTGTTGTCTAACGGTGCCAGGGGCTGCTGTTTTTTTGTTTTGTTTTTAGTTATTCTTATTATTGCTTGAAAATTGCATGGTTGTTCAAAGTGTTACGTGGCTTTTAATGGTATTCAAGAAACACTTCTGGTCCTCTTCGCGTGTTTACCATGGTTTACATATTCATCGATTGCATGCTCACACCTAATGTAGTCCCCGTGGGGAACTGATATAGTCTTGATGTTTGAGTGAAAAAAAAATTAAATAAATAAATAAATGTGCGTTCACCCAACACCAGCTAGAAGACAAAACTAGCACCCCCCCCCCCCCCCCAACCCTCAAACGTCATCACCAACGGTCCCCCGCCTCTGACCCTCCTTCTTAGAATAAAATGGCGAACGTAAACAGCAAACCCGCGTCCCTGTTTACAATAAGAAGCAATAAATGTTTCAGCGTGTTCGTACGCTTCGTCATAATTCATTTATATAGCCTTTATGACTGACTACAGGATGATTATAATATTGCTTATGGACTGTTGGCTTTATATTTGACACATAGAGTGGTCTTTTTGTAAAATTGCAATCTTCGTACCGTGAGCGTTAGCGAAGGGGGTGACAGCGGTGATATAAGCGTGACGCCGCGCACGCGACTTTAAAAAGCACGCACATAAAAAACAGTACTCTATCTCATGCAGTATAGTAAACAAAAACGTAAATAACCGTGCTTGTTCTTGCTAGGACTGTCATCGTTATATATACTCCGGACTCGCAGGGTTCGAGAGGCAAATTGTCAGTCTGATAAAAGCGCCATACCTTGAATCGAATTTGAAATGTTTTGTTGTTTCTCAAAGTGGGAAAAATCATGATTGTATTGTTAAATTCAAATAAATCGGGATTATTTTATTTAAATCACAATATTTGGATTCAAATCACTGGAGTTAGTCAACAGCGCTCTTTATCACTATATGTATTTCTAAGCGTGGCAGATTAAAAATAGTGGGGAAGAAATAGTTACTCTAACCTAAAGTACAGTAGATTTTAAAAAACCTTTTATTTATAAAAACCCAGTCATACTAATACATAAGCAGTTGAACTTTCTAGATAGTTAATAGAGTTTATTGACTTTTTATTTTGCGTTCTGATTGTACCTGAAATAATATGTTACATAACCGTCGAACGAAGTGGAGGTAGAAAGAAGCACAACGCTCCGATCTGCTCCCAAAAGCATTGAATGCTTATTGCTCTTTTAGCCTGATATACTATATCATCCATGATTTATGATTCTTTGACTTAAACACAAAACATTCATGCAGAAAGCATCAAAAATGTTAGACAAATGGTATAGTTAAAAATATCGGGATTATCTTTGCGGAAAAGCATTGATTTAAACCATCATAGTAAAACCGGTCTTATTAAAATTACGATTTTAATCGTGATGTAAATCACTAGTTAAGTCATTCTGATTTTAATTCTCAGGTCTGGTACTCTTCACGTATAATTATTGAACGTAAATCTTGAAAACACTCTTGATGACGCGATGGCACATGGAATCTTCTATCTTGAAGTGAGCAGCAACTAACGTTATACAAGTACAAGGGGGACAAATCATCCTTTTTAGAAACCAGTCCATTTTTCGCAGCTTTCCGCAAAAATAATGAATAAAGAATTCTTGAGTACCGACCCTTTTTTTAATGAAAATCAAGTGTGTGTGTGTGTGTGTTTTTTCCTGTATTTACACTCAGCACTTACCGTCGCACCAGAAATGTAAGCAACCAAGGTTACTTAATATCAAACAAAAGATAGGCAAATTACTTGCAGGTTTTTCTTTTTATCCTACACTTTCCATTTTCGGCATGTTCACCACTGGTTTAAGGAAACCTGAGTCATCCACAGTTGATCGTGTTTTGGATGTCATTTTTTCGTTTTTCAAGGAAGCGCATCTTTCGTCGAAATAAGCAAACAACACACAACGTTATAATCGCTCGCTTAATTTTTATTTATATATTTATACATACTGCCAGCCAAAATGACCCAGCAGGTGACGCGAAAATATTTGTTAGTTCAGCTTAGTTTATATTTTATTGACGATGTAGATAAAAAGTTGTTTTGTATACCTTCATCTTCTAAAAATGTCTAGTAATTTGTCTCAAAACCAATTCCGTTTGAACCGCTGTACTGTACAGTTACTGAAAAGAAAAGGCCAATAACAGTACGCTATATTAAATAGGCATTCTCTAGACCGCTGTTTCGTTGTGTATGATACAATCTCTAGGTTAGCTTTCATACCAAGCTACGTTTTCTCTTCAGATATCATTCGCATAGCGGACAGAATTTTTCAATCGAAATATTTACTCAAACATTTGACTTTTATTTGAAAAAATAGCCATAATAACTATCAGACAGGGCTTGATCTACGGATTTCTAACAATCAAGATATTGAATATATAAACGCTACTCGCTGTACGAACACCTTTTTGAAGGATAATTTATGACAAACTACACGACTAAATACCGAAAACGTCTCCTCGCGTGGAAAAAAACTTTTTTTTATCTAGTGAATCTATCTGGAAGTGCATTGTTTACATTCTGGCAAGTTCAGAGATCACAAGGCCAAGCAGGATATAAAACTTGAGGATATGCTATATTATTCGCTATAGGACAAAAACCCATATGCTTCTCAGAAAATGCTGACTTGGGATTTAGATTTAGATTCAAATTTAGAACTGACAGTTTCCAACACTTGAAAATATACTACGGTAAAATTTATTTTTAGGTTGAAACTGAACACCACAATTTAACAAGTTTCGTTTAAAAATTCTTATTTTTCTTTTATGCATCCGAAAGAGAATTGCCCTGAGGAATTTCGATTTTTTTACAGTGAAAGTTACTGCACAATTTATCGAAGAAAAACACCTCCCTGGGTGATATCGCAACAATAAGCTTGTTTCGAAATTATTTTATTAATTACTAGTCTTAGAAACCTCGCCCTCTTGATTTTACACTAGACATTTGAAAAGTGTGTGCTGCCTAAAGATTTTAAGACCCAATGTAGTACCTGAGTAAATATATATTCTGTTGGAAACCCTATGTCAATTTAGGCTCATCTATTCGAAGAATTATTCTGTCTCCGGGCTACATACCGGAGCCATTAATAAAAGTTTTGGGGTATGTAATAATTTTCCCCATCTACGCGACAGTAATGTCCATTCCTAACAGACGTTA